CCGCCTCTGGGCGAGCAGTCGGCTGGAGGAGTGTGGCTCAGCATGCCAAGACCTGTCGGCGTGTCCCTGGGCGAAAAGGATCTTGCGCTGGTTCAGCAAACGCTCTGGCCGTGGGCAGATGGAGATGGTTGTGGTTTCCCCCTTTCCCCTCCCTTTCCCTTGGCAGAAGCCCATGGTTGGGGTGAGCTGTGCGTTGCTCATTGCGGTAGAGTTTCTCCCCTTGGCATCGCTTTCTGGTGCGGAGATCCAAGGAAGGAGAGACTTGCCTGCGGCCACCTCCTGCCAATGTAGCTACTTAGCGCACGAAGGAGAAGCTTCACCTCCAGGTCCTGCCCAGGGGAGTGGGGCAGCAGGTTTCGGGCTGCGTGCGAGTCTTAGGCCAGCCTGTCAGCATTGCTGCTGGAGGGCTGTATAGAGGAAGGGATGCTCTGGCAGTGCCTCGAGGTTGGATTTGCATTAAGTTTATCCTCAGGAAGGCTGTGGCTTGGATCTCTCCTCCCTGCCCCGGCTCTGGTTCTTGGCAGAGAACGGGCCAGGTAAATACAGCCCGGGCAGCTTCTCCCTCTGGGCATTTAGGAAGGGAAAACAGTGTCACTGGTAAACCGGAGGCTGGGGTTCAGGTGGCTCTCTGGTTTTGCTGCTGGTCAGCTGGGTGATGCAGGCAGGTCCTTGCACCTGCCCGTGCCTCAGTTTCCCCACCTGCAAAGCTTTGGGATGAGCTTGGAGCCCCCATGCTGGGATTACTCCTCTCCAGGAGCAGCGCTGCTGCCGTGGGTTGCAGGAGGCGCTGGGAAGGGCTGCCTGGTGCGAGGTGGCTTTGGGGCTTGGCTGGTGGCATCAGCTCGGTTCTGCTGCTGCTTCCCAGCTGGGGTGGTGACACTGCCCTGCAGGGTCCCCAACCTGTCCACCTGAACCTGTCCCCAGCTTGAACTGCTCATGAAACCACTTGTCACCGCTGTGCTCCCTGCTCCAGCACAGCAGCTAGAAAACCTCTGTGACAGCTCGTCTTATACTGGGCAGCTGGAGGGGATTTCATCTGCCCTTCAGCCACTGTCATCCCACAGTTCCTCGTCCCCTCGTTCTTCTGGCCAGCCTTCCCACTCCTCTTCCTCCTCCTGCAGCCCCAGGCTGAGCCTGGATCCCAGTAGTGGGATGTGATAATGCTGATTGCGGCGGAAGCCCCAGAGCATTTGGCATTGGGGCTGACCCTGTGTTACTCCTGGGTAGGATAAGATGCCGGAGGCAGGGAGCTGCCCCAGTAGGACCAGGAGTGCAACCGGTGCCAAAATGCCTCTGTGGGTATGAGTAGCTTAAGCTGTGTGCAGGCGTCCCTGTGCTGGATGACAGGGCTGGATCCTGTCCCCTTCCTGGAGCTCTGCAGGTGGCTTCATGTCCTTGCACCATGTGCAAACGGGGATGTGCCATGGGCATCTGCACATGGTGTTGTCTGCAGTGTTGGATGTGTCTCGCCGCAATCTCCGTGCTGGTGCTCTCGCCTGCTGGAATGGCTGCAGCTGGGATCGAGGGCTGGCTGGGAGACGGGGCTCATGTGGAGATGTCTGGGGCCGGGGCCGCCAGGCTGGTGTGGCATGGGGTGCTCCAGGGGGTTTGCCATGCTGCAACCATGTGCTCTGCCAGATGGGACTTGAGTTCCCTCGGAAATGTGTTGCTCCTGCTCCAGACGCTGGCTCCCCCCACACGGCCGGGCCGCCGCCACCCCAGCCGTGCCGGAGCGGCGCAATGGAGGTGGTGCGGCCAAGGCAAACACGCTGTGGAGTGGAGCTGCTCACAGCTAACCCGGGGTAGGTGCCCCTGGGTGCTACGCAGCACTCTCCAGCCCTGCAATAAGAAAGTGTGTTTGGAAATGCTCCAGTATGAAGGTTTTGGGGTTACCAGGGAGAGGTGTGAATGTGTGTGCACACTCAGTGCCTTTACAACACAAGATTAAATGGCAAGTTTTACGTGCTGGGCACGGGCTCTGCGTTGAACTTCATGGGCACAGCAGCTCCCTTGGTCCTGCCGCTGGAGGGTTGGCGTGTGCGGGCGATGCTGCTGGGAGCTGTCGGGCGATGGATGCGGGCCAGGAGCTGTGCGGAGCACCGCGTCGGTGAAGCACATGTGCCGGGATGCAAACATGTATGCGAAAGAGATCCCGGCTGTCTAAATAATGTGAAATATTGACTAGCTCTCACAGATGGTGCTCCACGTGCAGCTTTGGAGACTGAACTTCTGTCTCCTTGCTGGGTTTTGGTGTGATGTTGTTTTGATCCAGTTGAATGCTGGACTCTTGACAAACTCGTTGCTTGGTTGCTTTCAGTGGGGTTGTTGAATTTTGGGGAGGTTCATTGCTAATGGGGTCTGAGGGGAAGGGAGGAGGGTTGCGGAGGGCTTAACTGGCTCCTTCAGATGCTCCTGATGGCTTTTAATCGGTTTTTAAATTATGGCACCAACTGGGAAGCTGGTTCTCGCAGAGCGTTGGGGTTTGTAGTATTGTGCGGGTGCCGTTTGGTGGCAGTGTTGCAGAGGAATTGTTGCCTGTAGCCAAGAGCTTGTGTTATTACCACTGTTATGGCGATTGTATTCACTGATGAAATGCTGCTGCTGATTATTATTTGCATGAGGATGTTGCTGGGGGGTCCGCTCTTGGAGGAGGCCCCAGTGTCCAGGTCATAATCCAGACCTCTGGCAGCTGGGCCTTGGGGACACTCTGCCTCTGCATCAATTTGCGGGTTTTCTCCTCTGTTTTGCCTTCCTTGGGGATCTTACGATCCTGGTTTTGGGTACGTGAAACTATGCTGTGTGTGAGCTGCTGTGGCGGATGCTCTCGGGCTCTCCCCAAAGCCCGTACCCAGTGTGGGGCAGCTGCAGCGGGGACAGGCTGTGCTGGCAAAGCTGTGCAAGAGGGTCTTACCGCTGCTCGGGAAGCACGTTGGGGAGTGCCCTCACCCACAGGTCGCTGTACTTGTGATAAAACAGCTTATCAGCCAGGTGGTTTGGTCGTTCAGCCTGCAGATTTAAAGCTCTGCTCAGAAAGCAGCATGCTCCATTTGCAGCCCACCGGCTGTGAAGTTAGAGCCCCGCAGAGGTGCAGGGGGCGAGCTGGGGGACGGGGGTCAGTGCCCGAAGCGGGGGCCCCGAGCAGCGCTCCCCACCGTGGGCTGTGTGCGTTGCCGCATGCGTCCTTGCAGCCGCTGCTCCTGGCGTGCGAGGGACCGGCAGCCCCAACAGTCTGTGCTTCTGCAGGGCTTGTTCCAAGGCGGCGTGCCGCTTGGGCTGAAACATGTTTCCCTCTTCTGTTTCCCATTTTCTGCAGGCTTTTCCCATCTGCCTAATGGGCTCTACCCGTCGTACATTCCCCTGAGCCACCTCGAGCCCCCCAGCGCTGGCAGTCCTCTCCTGGCCCAGCTGGGTCAGCACAGCCTCTTCGAGTCGCAGAAAGGTGAGTCTGGCTTTCCCGTGCGCCCTTCCCCTCAGTCACCCCTGGGTGCTCGCCCTGTCCTGTGGGCTTGTTTGGCTGCTGGAGCCGCTGGATGCTGGGGGGTTGAGGGGGGACGC